GAAGAAAAAATATTATGAAACAAATCTAATAGTTCAAAAGGTAGCTTTTTATTTTTAGCAGTCACTTAGCTTTAAAAAACAAAACAATGGAATCTTCTTAATGTTCTCTTTCTATATGAACCAGAGATCCGAGCTATCATTCACTAATGGATTGAACAACAGAATGCAAGAATCAATCAGATTTTTCACTGGATGGCCCAAGTGACTTCATTAAAATACACAGGATCTGGAAGATAAGTCCATAAATCCCCACACTTAGGCAGTCAATTGTATATCAATTCAAAAACTTTTATAAAAATGTGAACTATGAACCCATTAAAATGAACTGAAAGTAAGATACACTGAAACTGCATAGTTTATTCATTTTTCCTGTAAACGAAATTGTGCAAAAATAGTCTATTAATTTAAAAAAATTATGAACACAAAAAAATACAGAATGAGAATTACAATCATAATCTCTTTTTTCTTAATCCAATTTTTTCCATCATCCTAGATAGGCAACATCTGTAAAAACTTAAACTAAGCAACAAGTATACACTTGTGGTAAATTAGAAACAATTATTATGTTCACAGAATTGAAAGCTTGTGACTCAATGGGTTAACTCTATGGTGTCACCAACATGAAACTATGCCAACCAGTTTATTATCCTGGAGGGATTTAATCTCCTTTTGGAGCTGCTATTTATGTCACTCATCAGACAACCAAACAGTTTTAGTACATCCTTTAAAAATTTTTTTATTTTTTATTTTTTTTAGTTTTGGTGAACACAAATCTTTATTTTTTATTTTTATGTGGTGCTGAGGATCGAACCCAGTGTCTCATGAATGCAGGGCAAGCACTCTACCACTGAGCCACAATCCCAGCCCTTAGTATATCCTTTATACGGTTGTTTTATATTAATTACCATTCAGACTACCATGTGATTATGTAGTCATTTGGTTACATATTGTCTCTTCAAATAATATAAACACCTTTAGAGGAAAGGCTGGCATGTAGCACAATGCCTTTAGTATAGGGTTTTGATGTTGTTGTTTACAATTTATAGTTCGTCAAACTCTTAAGTGCTCAGTATTTGCTATTCAGCTGAAAAGCAATCAGATGCCAAATACTTATAAGGCCTCCAGGGGAGGGTATACAAAGGGCTTTCCTCCCTTTGTATTTCATATAATTTGCTTTAAGTGATTGGGTTACCAATTTTTCCTATTTGGGGTTTTCCACTTAAAAATGGACACTTTTGCAGAAGATAGAGAAAGTGGGCATGAGAATTTAAGTACACATAGAAAAGAAAGATGAGTAGGGAATGAGTACTATTACTTTACTTTTCTTCCCCATGGTTACACAATGTTAATGGTTTTCAGTAACAAAAGGATTTTTCCAAATGGAAGCCTTTAAAGTACCTCTATCTAAAAACTCAAAATTAATTAATTAACTAAATAATTAATAAAATAAACTCAAATCAAGATGTTTAGCTAATAAGGAGCCAGATGCTAATACTGATCATCAGTTGATAGTGTTACTGGTACCCCCACAAACTCTCCCACCAATATATCTGCTGGTCAATACTGGAAGTGGCAAGGACTATCAAAGTTTTCTCTATGGAACAATAAATTCCTGTGATCCTGTACCAAGTTTTTGGAGGGTTAAAAGAAGTCATGTCAACAACATCTCCTTTATGACTTACCAACTTAACTTTCTGGGCATTCCATATCACGGCTTTAAGAGATATGGGTGATCTCTAGAGACTCTGATCTAGAGTTTTAGTTTAGGGAGTTTAATAATGGCTTAACTAAGCTCTACCCCCCTTTGTCAGTTTTAGAAGTTAAATATCACAGGAAATTGCTTTACAATAGTTGCCACAACATACTCTACAGTGTAACTTCCCACCTATTAGAAGTATTAGATATGACTCCATAGTTTAGCCATTATCAAGAAAAACCTAGGCCAGCTGGAAAAATTTAATGTAGGCCCTCTAGTTTATATGGAGCAATATAAATAATAAACTAAGAGTAAAACTCACCAAAGGGCTATCAATGTTAATGGATCTGTGACATCTTTTAATAACATTACTATTATTACATTTTCTAAAACTCAAAGCAGAAGAGAACCCAGTTTGGAACTGGATGTGCTACCTGCAGTCTACCCAACTACCTCTTTTCTGCTTTCATCCATCCTCATCCCTCAACAGAAACTTCACTCCATCTCCAAAGACATCCAGGCACTGGCTATCTTCATCTTCAATTGCTACATACTCTGTTTTCATGCCATTCCCAGCTTTAAGTCATGACAATGTTCTCTCTAACTATTATTATGCTCCTTAAGTACTGGGTTGTTACCTAAATTATTTTTTTCACCTAGACCTGAAAAACTGAGTTGTACATCTGATCTCTTCCCTCTAGTATACAAGTAATTTCAAGCCCCTGGTAGTCACCCTAAAAAAAAAAAAAAAAAAAAAAAGAGCCCAAGTTCTGCCCTACTGTCTCCATCTGTTCAATAAATATTTGCTGAATAAAAAATGTGTAAAATGCTCTGCATGCCATGCCTTTCTAATGCAGGAAGGTGTTCCTTCTCTCCTATATATACATGTGCTCTCTACTCAGGAAGCCCTTTTGTCAACACTGCTTCCTTTCTTAACTAAGTCCTCTCCCAATGCTTTGACCTTTAATAACTTCTCTATATTCACCCAACTTCCTCCATTATTGGTATTTTTTTTACCTGATTTGGATCTCAAAAGTCTGCCTAACAGTGATTTTCTAACTCTCACAAGATAACATGGAAGAAAAGTTGTCTTCGGAGAAGAGTCCAAAGAGTTCCCAGAGAGAAGGGAGGAACTCAACTCAGGACTAGCAGAGGTCTTAGCTAAGTAAATACACATTCAAGAGAGAACTTGGACCATCTCAAGATTGAGAGATACATTTTGGGAATCTCCAGCTCTTCTTTTGAAAGAAATTTGCTGAGGGGTAGGTATGAGAAGGATATAGAGTGATCTCAAGATTGTTATGGTGGTCTGGTCATTTTCAGTATCCTTAGGATGACATGGTCTCTATTATATGACCAATAGGTAACACAGGAAAGTTTCTTAAAATGTCAAAAGAATGAGCTGGGACTGCTTGGTCAGTTCTGTTCAACAAGTTGGCCTCTTTAGTTTCATGTGGCTCTTTCACAGGCAAATGGTAATTTTTCTATACTTATATACTTTTATACTTTAATTCTCAGACAAAAGGATCATCACTTAGAATGTAAAAGTCTCTTTGGAATAGTTCAAACAAAACCCTTCAGGTGGAGAAATGATCTGGTAGAAAGAATGTAAATGATGGATTTAAGACAGAACTAGACTGAAATCTTGATTCTGCCTTTCCTAAAGGTATGATCTCTAAGCTTAAATGTTTTCATTGGCGTGTACAACGGCACACACCTGTAATCCCAACAGCTTGGGAGGCTGAAATAGGAGGACCATGAGTTCAAAGCCAACCTCAGCAATCCAGTGAGGCCCTCAGCAATTCAGTGAGACCTGTCTCTAAATAAAATATGAAATAGGGTTGGGGAAGTAGCTCAGTAGTCAAGTGCTCCTGAGTGCCCCTCTCCAAAATGTCTTCATTTATATAAATGGGAATGTTACAGGGAAATCATTTTATCCCCTCCCGGCAAAGGTTATGTGAACCCACAATAAGAAAAAAAAGAAGTGGTTTTAGTATTTTTACCCTTCCCTTCTCTACTTCCTTTCCTTCAAAGTGTCTAACAACATTCCAACATCCACCAGAAAGATAAATATGAATAACAGTTGTAATTCTCCTTCCCCCAAATGAGTTCATGTAAAATACACACCCAAAATCTCACTGAAAGTTTCCCTCTGTCTTTCCTAAATGCACAGCTTGAATCCATTATTCTGTTTATGCAGTAGGATCTCTTAGAAGTTGGCTATTACAAATACAACTCAATTCTGTGTGTTAAATTTTAAATATCTATCAAGATACTCTTTTCTCAATATACAATCCTATTAGGTTACTGCAGGAGACATTAAATTGAATGTGAATGAATGTGTCAACACACACAAATGTCTTATCAAAATTACCTCCAAAGAAATGTAAATCAAAAACACTCTAAGATTTCATCTTACTCCAGTCAGAATGGCATCTATCAAGAATACAAGCAAGAATAAATGCTAAAAAAAAAAAAGAGATAATATCCTACACTGTCATCATGAAAAAAAAAGAATAAATGCTGGTGAGGATGTGGGGAAAAAAGGTATATTCAATACATTGCTAGTGGAACTGCAAATTGGTGCAACCATTACGGAAAGCAGTATGAACATTCCTTACAAAACTTGGAATGGAACCACTATTTGACCCAGCTATCCTACTCCTTGATTTATACCCAAAGGATTTAAAATCAGCATACTTCAGTGACGCAGCCACATCAATGTTTATAACAGCTCAACTCACAACAGCTAAACTATGGAACTAACCTAGGTGCCCTTCAACAGAAGAATGGACAAAGAAAATGAGGTATATGTATATACACAATGGACTATTAGCCAGCCTTTAAGAAGAATAAAATTATATTATTTGCCAGTAAATGGATGAAACTAGAGAATATTGTGCTAAGTGAAATAAGCCAATCCCCCCCCCAAAAAAACCAAAGGCTGAATGTTTTCTCTGATATGTGGATGCTAATTCATAATTAAGGGGGTAGGGGGTAGGGAAGAAACAGGTACTTTGGAATAGACAGAGGGGAGTAAGAGAGGGGAGGAAGCATGTGAGCAAGAAGGATAGTAGAATGAACTGGACATTATTACCCAAAGTGCATATATGATTATATGACCCGTGTGATTCTACATCATATACAACCAGAAGCATCAGTTATACTCCATTTATGTATAATATGTCAAAATGCTTTCTACTGTCATGTATAACTAATTAGAAGCAATTTTTAAAAAGTCTCCAAATCTAGGTTTTATCCAATTTATAGTGTTGGAGCATCAAACAATTTCAATTAGACATACCTCTTGTAGAAGACGTGGATCCACGCAATCACCATCATCGTTAAACATAGATTCCCAGCTCTCTTCAGTAGCAGTATTTCCCTCTATCTGAGAAGTTTCAGTTACGTTAAAATCCATGGATGTTTCTATAGATGATTCTCCACCAGGAACTGATACACCAAAGCCTATATTCTCTGAGTCATCCTGCTTTTTTGTTTTGAACTCTTCAGCAGTTCTTAGTTCATGTAATGCCTCTGTTATATCACCAATACTATCCAGATCATTGCCCAAGGCATTCTCTAAAAGTACTTTTGTCCCATTTGACAAACTGAGTTCAGAGTCCAAAAAAATGTTACAATTACTACCAGTAATCTTCTTTATAGGTAAGGAGGAAGTACAATCTGACAAGCTCTCTATCAACTTTCCTGTTGACTCTGTAAAACTAGATGAAATAGTCTCAACATAAATATCAGAGCAAGCAGTCAGGCTGCTGAAATTTTCTGAGTCACTCTCACTTTTAGCATGAAAAGGGGATGCATCTGAACTTATATCTATATATTTTGAGAAACTATTTGTATTGCTACAAGTTTCATCAGCTAGTGTAACTCCAACTACACAAGGGCTGCTTACAGTTATATGATCATGTATGGCACCTGTAGTGTCCATCATACAAGACTTACTGGTAATATCACCTATACTCTTGGATCCATTATCTGTATCTGTTTCATGAGTAAGGACAACTGTATCAGAAGGTTCACACTTTACACATAACTCATCAGCAGTGACATTATTCTTCTCATACTCTCTAATCACTGCTGAATCCATAATGCCATTTGTGCTCTCTGACTTGCTGGTCATAGTCATTTTATGAGAGATGAGACCCACAGTCTCAGGAATGGAATCTATACCTTTCTGACACAAGATGAAATTTGTACCCTTGGCTTTATCTCCTATATTCTCAACTTCAAAGTCTATACAAGTTTGATCAATGACACTATCTGGACTTCCAGGAACAGTAGGGATACTTCCATTGCTGAGCTTCAGCATTCCATCTGATGTTTGCAAACCTTCTAGTACAATTTCCGAATCAGAGCTTAGTTTTACTGGTATACTCATATTCTCAGGTTTCAATATAGTAGTAAAAACTCTAGGAAACTGGGATAGTATCTCTACAACTTTGGCATCAGTTTCAATTCCGCTTTCTGAATCTCTGCCTTCAAAAGTTTCCCCACTTGATTCAAGTCTACTCAAGTTACATAAGTCTACATTCTGGAATGGTTGTTTTAGAACCTGAGCCTTGGTGATTTCTGAACAAGACTGTGATAGAAGTATCCCTTCATGTTCTGTCACAACTGTAGTTTGAACCTCCAAACACGCCACGCTCTTTGGTTGTCTTTGTAAAGGGGAAGTGGGTATAATCTCTGTATTTGGAACTTTTTGCTGATGTTCTGGGGATAATACTTCACTGGATTCTGTGGCTCCTCTCTTAGTACAAACCTTATCTTTTTTCCTTTTTTGAAGGTATGTATCTTTTCTTTTTGTTGAAGATTTTCTTCCTTCCCTATAACTATGCTCCTTTCTATCAGGATTAATACTTAATTGTTGAGCTCCAGGTTTGTCTCCAATGATCTCCTTTTGGGACAGACAAACTTCTCTCTGTTCTTCTTTTATCACAGAATTAGAAAGACCACAGCTTTTTTCCTTATCACATGTATTGAGGAGCACTGTACCCCTTCGAGCTTTAGGTACATAAAGTGCCATGTCAGGCCTTTTGGCTCGAACTCTACATCTCTCTGTTTCTTGCTGCATGGTACCAACTTCAATCTGAAAGAAAAGAGAGAGTGATTTAATTACCAAAAACTAATTACAATGTATTGAACTTAGAGATTCTAAAAGATTAGGTAGAGGACCTAGTAATCCATCCTGTAGAAATCCTCAAGTTTAAAAAAATAAAATAAAACCTGCCATAAAATAATTAATGCTATCAGGTGTACCACTAAGGATATTTAAAAAAAAAAAAAAAACTCTCATGAGATCATGAATTCTATACAAATACCCTTTTTTTGTATTCAATCTCTGAACCATTGAGCTCTACCTTCCAAATTCTTCTCTACATTTTTAACAAGTAGTTTTGTCTTAAGCTGAATTTTAAAAAGATATATGAATCAGTAATTGCCACCTATCAAATACTCATAAACACAACCATTTTCATATTCTAGGAGCTTAGACTTTTATTTTGAAGAGTATACTCAAGAAGGATACAAAAAAGCCATATTTGTCAAATAAATAAAAAATAATTTTAAAGAGTAACTTGAATGTCAGCTATAAGATAAACAACAAATGAGGGAACATTTCCTATAAGAAATGGCTTTTGACCTGTTTCTTTTTGTTTGTTTTTGTTTTGTTTTGTTTTGGTACTGGGGATTGAATCCAGGGCACTTTACCACTGAGCTACATTCTGGTTCTTTTCATTTTATTTAAGATTTTGAGACAGGGTCTCACTAAATTGTTGAGGCCAGCCTCAAACTTGCAAACTTTCTGCCTCAGCCTCCCAAGTCACTGAGATTAGAGGCTTGTGCTACCATGCCCAATTTGAACTATAATTCTGTAGAAAGAAAAAGACAGCAGAAAAGAGAAGGGCATTCAATTACCCTGACTTGATCATTACATATTGTATATACATACTGAAATCTCACACCTTCCCTCCAAAATATGTACAATTCCTCTGTGTCAATTAAAAGTAAAAATATGCCAAGGTGGGTGGCATACAACTGTAATCACAGTCTCTCAGGATGTTGAGGCAGGAAGATGGTGAGTTGGAGGCCAGTATGGGCATTTTAGCAAAAATTCTATTTCAAAAGGAAAAGAAGAAAAGAAAGGGTTAGGGATGTAGCTCAGTGGTGGAGTATTTTTCTAGCAGATGCAAGGCTAGAAAAGGTTCAATTCCCAGCACAACAAATAAACAAACAAACAAATAAATAAAGGAGGAAAGGTACTATTATTCTATTAAAGGTTAAGCATCTTCAATCCTAAAAAGTTCAAAATGCTCCAAAATTTTAAACCTATTGAGTTTCAGCAACTCGGTTTTGGATTTTGAAGCATTTAGGATTTCAGATTTTTCAGTTAGTGATGGTTAACCAATAAAGACAATACAAACATTTAAGAAACCGAAAAGCTCTGAAATCTGAAGCACTTCCATGTCCCAATATTTCAGATAAAAAAAAAAAAAAAACATGGCCCATAGCACTATTTAGTCAAGAGACCTACTACAAATCTTTGTTTCCAGCATAATAAAACAGATCCAGGTAAAAAGAAGAAGGGTGGAGAACAATAAAATTATGAGACAACTCACACTAGTAAAAACTGCCTGGAATTGCTACCATGGCTGATCAAGAGAACTGAACAAGAAATTAAACAAAGATTAAATAAACTTTATAAATATAAGGAATCATGCTAGGTAATTTCATGTTGAGTTATTCTTTAATCTTCAAAATAATGCTCTGAAGTAGGAAGGTATCAGTTTGTCCAGAGCAGAGAGAAGTACTTTATATTATCAAAGAAACACCCCTACACACACATATGAACCCACTGTTAATATTTTCTAACATATACTTCAAAAGAAAGAGAAGGAATAGGGATAGAAAGGCTAATGAATCTTATTCAATATTAGATCCCTAATATTTAACTTGATCATAGAATATCCCTCAGGTTGTGGTTTGGATTCCCAGTACAAAACACTGACGCACTTCTGGATATAAAACGGTACATTGTAGACTATGTAATAGAACTAGTAAGTGGGCTCACAACTGATTAAATACAGTAATGATAATGGGTAAAAATAAATGTGCAGGATGTTATTTAAAGGAGGACCACAGCCCTTGAGAGTCAATATTTTACCAATATGGATGCAGACAATACATACTAAATATTTATAAAATACACAATTGACACAAAACTGATGGGATTCATAAATACCAAAAATGAGAAGATTATAATTCACTCTCATTCGAAATGCTACGCTAAAGGCAGTATGAAGGCAAAACACAACAGACACAATAATCTGTTTTAGGTTTAAAAAAAAAACAACAACAGCATAGAAGAGTTGACTTTGGTACAATTTACACAAAGAAATACTTAAAGACTTCTATTTTGTCCACAAGACCAAGAAAAACCAAAAATTGCGAAGAGGACATTTAAAAAACCAACATGGTCTTTGATTACAGAGTACAAAAATATGATTAAAAGAACTAAATAAAAAACATTACAGTTAACTTTATACCTGAAGGATTGGTTGCTCTGTGGAAGAGCCAAAATTTCTCTTCTATATATTTCTATACTTGTATGATTCTCCAGAACTCTGTGCCAGAACCCACTGGAATAAATTAAAGGAAAACAAAAGGTTATTTCAATATAAGAAAATACTCTACTTCTAAAGTTCTTCAATGCTATTATCAGATAATGAGTTGTTTTTAGAAGAACTTAAATAAAGCATAAATGAATGATCAAACATAAGACACAGAATTTCTATTTATAACTATAGACAAGTGCTCTAGATAAATTTTAAGCATTCATCAAACCCTAAATTCTTTGATTCTATTTCAAATCTGCAACAGACCTACCAAAGGCTTCAAATTACATATTTTAAAATTATTATTATGTTCTATGACTAAAGGCTTTCAAAACTCAAACTTTTTTTCTTAATGCTCATAAAGCTGAAAGCCGTCTAATAAATTCAATATTGTCTATTTTCTACCAAAACACTGAATTCAACTGTGCCAGGACCAGCAGTATGTTGGTAAATTATCATCCAACTCACCCAGGGTATTTTGGAGTACTGGCTGATATTTTTATCTATGTCAATTATGTCAACAATGTGACTTCTTTGTTAAGATGCATAATTGTTTCTGAATAATGGAAGAATATATCCTCAGATTTTTGAGCTCTTCACAATATAGTAAAGACATGATACATTTATATTAGTAGCATTTTCCCCGTCACTTTAAGTCTAGACAATCAATGAATAATAAATCAAGCCCTGATTTATGGTGTTTGCCATTGTCTGCACTGTAAATATTCTTAATGTGGCTTACTTTCAAGCTACTGATATGACATCATTGAACATGGAGTTGGGAAAAGATGTATAAAATCACATTATTATACAGGATTATCAACCACAGCGATACAAGATACATAATAACTTCAAGAGCACAGATCAAAATAAAATGTATTAGTAATAAGTTTTAGGTATTTATTCCCTTAAAAATAAAATGTTTAATTGTAAACCTATGTAGTTTAATTTTTAATAATGGCTGTTTTTAACAATCTGTGCAAATTTCCTAAAATTTTAACTATCAGCTCTCAGGCCAGCAGGAGATAACTCCAATATACCACTAGATGTGACCATTTTTTTTCATAACTTACAGACACAAAAAAAGGAGAAGTATCACCATCTTGTGGACTTTCAAGATATTGTCAATTTATTACAGCTTTGTTGAATTTTTATAAATTTCTTTTGCAAGAAATTTTGTTGAAATTTTTATGATGCATTCTCCCTCTTTCCTCCAAAGCCATTTTTTTTTCCCTTCTGAACATTCTTAATGGCAAAGTATAGATATCGTGGGCCTTTGCCCTACATACTTCACAGTGTATTTGTTATAAATAGGAATATCCTCTTTTATAACCACGATACAGTTATCAAGGTCAACAAATTTAACATTGAAAGTTCTAATAAAAAACAGATGTAATACAATGTTACTGCATCAAATATATCTTCTATTGCATATTTCCCTCTCCAATACAGAATACAGTTTAGGGTTAAGTGCTACACTAATTTTCAAGCCTCTAGCCTCCTATACTCTGGGAACATTTCCATAGCCTGTTAGGACACTGACATTTTGGAATAATAGCTCCCCTATCCACCCTTTTTGAAAACATTATTCACTTAAGGTTTGTCTTATGTCCCATGATAAACCCGATATTATATATACTCAACTAGAACACTACAAAGGTGGTGATGTGTACTCAGGGAATCACATCTGGAGACACATGATTTTCATCTGTCCTTCAATGATGCTCTTAACTTTTATCATCCAGTCACAGTGTTGTCCAATTTCTTAAATTACTGTGCATTTTCTCCCTTGTAAGAAAACAAGCAGTCTGTGGGGTGGCACTTCAAAAGCAAGCAAATATCCCGTTTTTTCATCAAAATATCCCCCTACAGTTAGCACTCCATATGCTAAATCTGATGATTTTTATCTAATACAATCTTTATTATGATGGTTGCAAAATAATGATTTTTCCAAATCCAGCAGTCCCTCTACATTTACCAGTCAGTCCTAGGCCTTATTCTGAAAACAAAAGTAAACCATAAGGACTGGAGTTGTAGAATGTTTGCCAAGCACATGTGAGGCAATGGGTTCGAACCTCAGCACCACATAAAAATAAACAAACAAAATAAAGGCATTGTGCCCACCTACAACTAAAATAAATAAAATTTTTAAAAAATTTTACTCATAATTGATGCTAAGATTCATTGTTATAACCTCAGCTCTCCATGGCTGGTTAATACAAGAAATGTCTACCTGGAAAATATTTTCTAACTTTTATAAAATCAAAAGTAAGGCAAATATCATCCAGTGTTCCATTTATAACAAAAAAGAATAAAAGTATGTCTCCCAAAGTTATGCGGTCCCTTGTGTAGATCAAGAATGTGTCTCATTCTGCTCTCTTTTCTACAAAAAATAAAAATTTAGTTTGGTGTTCAAATGTAAAGATTAATCCATTCTAGATATCTGCATATCTGGTAGTATTTACTCCTCTGTCACTTTTTAAAGTCATCTCAAATTCCTTTGAGGAGGAGTCAAGACACAATTAATTCATACATATTAATAAACAAAATATAAAGGCAAGGGAAATATTTGGGCAATATATTTACTTCAAATCTATTTTCAGAAGATATCTTTAAGCTTCATCAACTTAAATTTATTTAAGGGACTGGGGATGTGGCTCAAGCGGTAGCGTGCTCGTCTGGCATGCGTGCGGCCCGGGTTCGATCCTCAGCACCACATACCAACAAAGATGTTGTGTCCGCCTAGAACTAAAAAATAAAAAATGTTGGAAATTCTCTCTCTCTCTCTTCTCTCCTCTCACTCTCTCTTTAAAAAAAAAAAAAAATTTATTTAAATTATTTTTAAAGGGGCTGGGAATGTGGCTCAAGTGGCAGCACGCTAGCCTGGCATGCGTTCGGCCGGGGTTCGATCCTCAGCACCACATACAAACAAAGATGTTGTACCCGCCAAAAACTAAAAAATAAATATTAAAATTCTCTCTCTCTCCCTTTTAAATAAATAAATAAATAAATAAATATAACTAGCTAAAAAAAGTTTTAAAAAAATTATTTTTATAAATTTTAGGATAAATACCTCAAATGACGTACACATTGCGTTCTATCCATGACATCATCTTTAAAATAGTTTGCAACAAACTATGCAATATAAAGATATTTATATAAAGTATATACTACCAGACCATTACAATTCTCATTATTACAATACCAATCTATCTTGAATATAAGATTCAACACAAGAATCTAAGCACAAGCCTCAGAAATGGACAAAAATCTATACGGGAACTCATTTTATAATAAATGTGGCATCTCAAAACAATGGGAAAACATGGAGCATTCAATGCTAGGAAAAATGTCTGGCTGTTTATTTGGCTTGTCAAGACTGAGGATTTTACACTATACTCAAGTCTATGATTGGTCTATGATTTTTTCCTCCTATTGAATATGACATAATTGGGTTATCAAAGTTCCTGCAAGACATAGGAAATTAGTTAAGTATTTATATGTAAAGCAAGGCTTACTTAAGTTCCATGTGAGCGGAACTCACAAGCAGCACTGTCGTGGAAACATTTTTGGTGAAGATGTTTAAAAATGACTCATTTTTAATGTCAAAGATAAGTTTTTCTTCTTGACCTAGTTTGGCAAATCTGTTTTTCTAGAAAATTTGCTTTTTAACCTAAGTTTTTACATTAATTGATACAAAAGTTGCTCACAGTCCTTCCTTGCTATATATTGCTTTATATTTGCTATAGTTGCCATTATGTTCTCTATTTTGGTTCTTAATAGTATTCATTTGTATTTTCATTCTTTTGTATTTGATCAATCCTGCCAGAAATCTCTCCTATAAATCTTTCAAAGGGCCAAATTTGGGTTCTATAGATTATCTCTACTATTTATTTTTCTACTTCATTAATTTCTGTTCTCATATTTATTTTCTTCCTTCAGTTTTCCTTAGGATTATTCTATTTATGTTTTATTACCTTCTTCAGTCAGTGATTTCACTGGCTATAACCCAAAGTTATCTGTAATTGCTACTTTTATTTGTATTACAAAAGATTTTCAAACATAAAATAGAGAAAATATTACAATGAACTGCCAAACACCCATCACCCAGCTTCAAATTACAGTTAATGTTTCTTCATTTTATCTATGCACATTTCTCAACTACTGTATTATCTTAAGTAATTCCCAGATATTATTTCATTTCACCTTTAAATATTTCAGTATATATATTTAATAAAAGTTTTAAAAATACAACCAAATTAGAATACCAAATTTCACCTTTTTAAAAAAGAAAGAATTCTTTCTAGTGTCGTATATCCAGTATTCAAATTCTACCAATTGCCTCGCATTATTTTTTTGAAAGCTCAGTTTTTTAAAATCAGGATCCAAAAGGAACTACAGGTTGCTCTGACCTTTCAATCTACTGATGTCCACCATCTATTGTATTTTCCAGTCCTGACACTTAAGAAAATGTTATTTGTTCTAATGTCCCACATTCTGAATTTTGATGACTGCATGTTCATGGTGTTTTTAAATTAAGTTCTTACAGTTTCTGTACTTCTAGAAAAGTGGTGTTTGATCCTAGAAGCTTAATTGGAGTTGGATTCAATGTTTTTATAGCAAGCATTCTTCATAGCTGGTGCTAAAAACTTCCTATTGTATCACATCAGGGAGCACAAAACCTGATTGCCTCCTTTTTGTAATGCTAACATTGATCAGTTGACCCAGGCACTGTTAGCCTGAACTACCATTATAAAACTGCCCACCAACCTTTCACCTAAAAGTTTTAGCAACATTTGATGAAAAATGCTGATTTTTAAAAAAAAGGAAAGAAAAGAAAAATGCCAAGATAGACTATTTCATCAGGTTTTACAAACTTATGACAGATATTTCATCAGGTTTTACAAACTTATGACATTCTGTCATTCTTTCTGGATATGTTAGCTGGGATTTCAGAATGAACTTTCATGAACTATTTTGTGACTCAAAGGTAGATCTTATATAGGTAAGACATAATGATTCTTAAGCAGTTTCTGAATGAACTGGTCATTTGGAATCCTCCAAAGATGAAAAATATAATTATTTTGTCTTAACAAAACAAAGCAAATAACAACAACAAAAAATCCCTTATGGATTTTTACATATTTGCTCTGTTTGAATCCATTAACTATCTTTGGCTGATGGCAGCCCCTTCAATTCTGACATAACCCCCAGTGTTTTGTGTTTTTTTTTTTTTTTTTGATAGTCTCATGCTTTCCAGTATGACATCTTATGTAAGACTTACTAAAAGTTGGAATCAGTCATTTCACAAAGTCCTGTTTCATTTCAGTGAAAAATAGTATTTTAAAATCACAATCTGGGCACTAAGACATTTCACTGTTTCTTGTTAGTTCTGATTCTTTTTGTTGTTGTTGTTTGTATATATTAACTTGATTTCCAAGTTGATTACACTGTAGTCTAAATGAGACCAGATCTTTAAAATTTGTTGACTTTTGTTTTCATGGTCTAGTAAATGGTTAATTTTGGTCAATATCTCATCTTTGTCTTTAGAAAAATCATATAAATGAGCTAAAGTACTGTGTAGGGGTTTAACAATGTGGCAGAACATTTGCCTAGCTAGCATGCACAAGTCCCTGGGGTTCCATCTTTAGCACCACAAAAAAAAAAAAAAGTATTATTCAAATCATATCCTTAATTAACTGCCTACTGTTTGTGGATTTGACCTCTCCTCGTAATTTTGCCATACTTTTATGTGATTTCTAAAAGTTATGTTATCAGGTACTTTTACTGAGAATTGACCTAACTTTTTGGTAAACTGCTACATTTATCCAAATTATGTAATGACTCCTTCCATTGTGATTTTTGGGGGACAGGGTTAAAATTTATTTTGTATAAACATTATACACCTTCATAAACTTTCATTTGGTTATGTATCTTTGCTTATCCTTTCATTTTCAAACTCACTGTTTCATGTTTTAGGTGGCTTTCTCACAAACAGCATACTACTGAACTGTGTATTTTTTTTTTACCCAATTTGTCTATCTCTTTGTCTTTTAATTATCAAATTTAGTATCCATTTATAGATATTGTGATTATACAAGCATCAGAAAGTGCTTTTACCTTTAAATTCTGTGTCTCCTTTCTATTTACCCTGCTTCCTTATAGCCTTCTTCTTTTTCTGCTTTCTTAGAGATTGAGCAAGTTTTTACTTTTCCTCAATCCTAGCAAAATTGTATAGTCTGATTTGAGTATTTGAGTTCAGAGTCTTTTACTGATTTTATTCAATCAGGGCAATAAATTCAGATCTATCTTCCCTGCCATCAGTCATCTTCTCACATGTGCCTATTCTACATCTTAACTACACAATTAGTTTTTTAAATTTTAATAGCCATAATCTGTGATATTGGGGACCAAACTCAGGGGCACTCTGCCACTGAGCTACACCCTCAGTCCCTTTATTTGAGATAGCATCTTGCTAAGTTGCTGAGGCTGGCCTGGAACTTGTAATACTCCTGTCTCAGCCTTCTGAGTCACTGGGATTACAGATGTGCACCACTGTGCCTGGCTGGCTATGGTTTCTATTACAAAAGTTCTGCCTATCTCACACCATGTCTCTGATCTCCCTGGTCATATTTTTTTTGAAGTTTTGTTATTGTGGTTGTTATTCTTTTTTAAACAATTTCTCTTTTCATCTATCTTTAATTATTTTTAATAGTTTTACACTATGGTCAAAAATTATAATTGTGGCATTTAATTTTAATTTATAAACTGCACTAAATTTTATTATAATTTAACACGTATTTTTTGAAATTTTTGAGGATTTAATTCTGTTTACTCTGTTTTGCCTAATGCACTGTCTTTTTGCTTTTTGTAATTTAGGGTAGTGAGCTGAACTTTAGTGGGACTTTACAGAATTCCATTCAGCCAGACTATTTATGTCCTTCTAGAATGGTTCTGCAATAATGTTAAATTTTCAGTTTGGAAAGTTCTGGACCATACATGTAAAAAACAA